AGTCGATAAGCTCAGCTTCATGTTGTGGGTGGACTGCCTGCTGGTTTTGTGCAGCTGCTTGTCTGGAGCGAGAAATACCTCGGTGGCGGCGGCTCAGCGTTCCTGGGTCAACACCATATTTTTTTGCAATTTGAGAATACACAAGTTTTTCATTAGGCTTCAAAGCGTTAATAGCAGCAAGCGCAGCGTCAATTGATTGCATTGTGGTCACGTTATGGGTGGTTGAAGTGGATGGAATAATTGGTGTTGGAGGACGTAATCCGGCGTTGGCCCGTCCGCGGCGTTGGCCCGTCCGGCACCTCTATTGATGGTGACGTAACCTGGTATCCGACAAACATTTCCGCGCTTCCCAGCATCCTTTTTTACTTGTCTCTACGCAACTGTGACATATCCAGAGTGCACTTGCTGCTCCTTCCATATGATATCACTGCGTTAATTTTGCAATTGTGGTCCAATTGCCGACATACCTTTCGGGCGCGTTCAGCCCGCAATCTCCCTAATCACTACTCCCACTCCTGCTTCCGGTTGCTTCGCTACCACTCGCATCCTCCGCAATGCTCCCACGACACACCACATCGCTGTCGCGCGGATACAACATCACCTCTAGAGCTCCCCTTCTGTGTAGGAGATTTCCTCGCTCTCCAACCTCCCAATTCCGCACCTCCTTTAGCAATGGCAGCCCCGTGTCTGCGTCCAAACGCACTACTCTGCAGCTATCCCCCTTGAGCAAGCAACACCCCGTCTCTACCGTCATACGAAACCAATCTACGAGGACACACCCAGCAGAAAGGTCACGATTGGTGCGGTATACATACAGGACAATAGCAACCCTCGGCTCCTTCGTCCTCGTGAGCGGCATTCTCGTCGCCGGCTTCTTCGTTTACGATGCCTACACCTACAATGAGGACCCTATCACCGAAGACCTCCCCGTATCAGAACTTGCTCTGAATCCACCCAGAGGAGGACCAAAGAACCTTCCGATTGCCAATCACTTTGTAGACGATGACGAAAGCCCTGAGAATAAACAACTCAAGCACAAACCCAAGCTGGTTATTTTGGGCACGGGGTGGGGAAGCGTCGCGCTTTTGAAGCAACTGCACGAGGATGATTATCACGTCACAGTAATTTCGCCGTCGAACACTTTCCTTTTCACGCCTATGCTCCCGTCTGCAACTGTGGGTACACTGGAACTGCGGTCGCTTGTTGAGCCTGTCCGAAGGATTGTGAGGAGAGTGCGTGGACATTTCCTCAAGGCGAAAGCCGAAGACGTCGAATTTTCAGAGAAGCTTGTTGAGTGTTCAGCTGTAGACGACCAAGGCAAGGAACAACGGTTCTACGTTCCATATGACAAGCTGGTGATTGGTGTTGGATCCGTGTCCAACTCACATGGTGTCAAGGGCCTAGAACATTGCCATTTCCTTAAGGATATCAGCGATGCCAGGATCATCCGCAATCAGGTGGTCAAGAACCTCGAAAGCGCATGTCTGCCGACAACTTCAGACGAAGAGAGGCGGCGACTCTTGTCATTTGTGGTCTGTGGTGGTGGACCTACTGGTGTAGAGTTCGCGGCTGAGCTCTTTGACATGCTTAACGAGGACCTTTGCAAGCTATACCCAAAGCTTCTGCGCAATGAGATTTCTGTTCACGTAATTCAGTCGCGTGGCCATATTCTCAATACCTACGACGAAGCACTATCTCAATATGCTGAGCAACGCTTCGCGCATGACTCGGTCGACATTCTCACAAACTCCCGCGTCAAGGAGGTTCAATCAGACCGGATTCTCTTCTCACAGAAAGACGAAGACGGCAAATTGGTCACCAAGGAAATTCCCATGGGCTTTTGTCTTTGGTCTACTGGTGTAGCTCAAACAGACTTTTGCAAGCGTCTTGCTGCTAAACTCGATGGTCAGAACAACAGACACGCTTTGGAAACCGATACACATCTCCGTCTCCACGGAGCACCCCTCGGAGATGTCTATGCCATCGGTGACTGCGCAACTGTACAAAACAATGTCTCGGATCACATTGTGAACTTTCTCCGCACCACGGCCTGGGAGAAGGGCAAGGACCCCGAAAGTCTGCACATTTCCTATTCAGACTGGCGCGGCATTGCCAAGCGTGTCAAGCAGCGATTTCCTCAAGCTTCCAACCATCTCCGCCGTCTAGACAAGCTCTTTGAGCAATACGACAAGGACAATTCGGGTACTCTCGACTTTGGCGAGCTTAGAGAGCTCCTTTTCCAAATCGACTCGAAGCTCACTTCTCTCCCCGCCACCGCTCAGCGCGCTAACCAACAGGGCGAGTACCTTGGCCGCAAGTTCAACAAGATTGCCCAGGCTGCACCAGGCATGGCTCTGAACAATGTCGACTATGGTGATTTGGACGATGCAGTGTACAAGGCGTTCGAGTACAAGCACCTGGGTTCCTTGGCATATATTGGCAATGCCGCAATTTTCGACTATAATGGCTACGGGTTGAGTGGAGGCCTTTTGGCTGTTTACCTTTGGAGAGGAGTATACTTTGCCCAGAGCGTCAGTCTCCGAACAAGGTTTTTGCTTGCCATGGACTGGACCAAGAGAGCACTTTTTGGACGAGGTGAGTAAAATGTTGTTTATTTGTAAGAAGGATTGTGAACTAACGTGTGCTAGATTTGATGAACTTTTAAGCCATGTACGCATTATTCGTCGTCTTTGAGAGTCAAGATCAGAGATAGATAGACGGTATCGGGTCAGTGCATCAATCTTTCTTGTATCAAACTTTCTCAAGAAGCCAACACTGGATGCTGGTCGGTAATATTTTGTACAAACATTGAAACAATCATCGTTATGGTCCATTTTACCTTCCCCTTTCGCTTCCTCCCCCGATGGTCATATTTCTGCTTTGACTTGGTCAGATCTTTGGGGTAGGTTGCCATCTCGACAGTGCCTCTCACACCGTGTCACTACCTGTTTTCCATCTTGCCTTTCTCTTCTGAAAAACCCCTGTCTTCCATCTCTTCACTACTATCAGCCCCTCACCCAAGCGGCACCTCAGCGTTGTTGGTGCTTTGGTTTCGGGACCTGTCCGTATCCTTTTTCATCCTGCGCCGCAACATGTAGACGTCTGCAGATCGCAGCAAATGTACATGCCCCAACGAAATTACATCCATCAATCACCCCGTGCGGTCAAAAGCATGGAAAGAATGCCTCTCGGGATTGTCACCCATGCGCCAATCCAGCAGCACATTACCGGATCCATGCTGCACGATCCAATCAGCCTCAATAACCCCCCTCAGTTCATCAATAACATCACACATTCTAACCCCACTTTCCCGTTCAACCCTCACACATTTTCTCAACCACTCCATCTCCCCCTCTATCGCGCGTACATTCATATACTCTTCATTCCACTCCGCTCCATCCAAACACCTCACCTCCACCTTCTTCGTCACTGGCTGCGTCAAATACTTCATCCCTTCCTCTTCATCATCCCTTATCTCAAGCATCCGTTCAAACTCTCCCAGCTCCATCCTCGTTCCAATGGAAAGACCCATCTGCCCCCTTGCTACATTTTCTACCCCACCCGTCAAATCATACGCATGCGCCGCTAGCAAAGGATGCATATACGGTCCCAACGCTTCCTGCAGCTCATCTGTTGTCGCATCCCGCCAGATCAGGTGGTCGGTCTCGACCTCTGGCTGGACGATCCAATTGACGAGTTCTTTCGGACGGAGGTTGAGTGAACGGGCGAGGCTGCGTATGGAATCTGGTAGAACAAGCGTGGTTTCTTGGAGGAGAGGAGAGGAGGGGGTATCGGGTAGTGGACGCATTCGAGCGGGTAGGTTTGCGATGAGGATGCGGCGCCATCCGGATGAGACGGCATGGCAGGTTAAGAGGTCCCGGGTGGGTAGGTAAGAGATTATAGAGAGGAGAACTTCGGGGAGGGTGAGGGCGCGGTGCATTTTTGCTGAAATGCTTCCCCAGTATCTCAAATAAAAAAACATGCGCAGGTGGAAACAAGCAAGATGTATAGTTTGTAAGACAGGGAATGGGTATGTAAGTGAGATACTACTTGTACCTCAATCATCCTTGGCAAATTCATGGCTAAGGTAAGAATGCAGCATCTTATCTATCTGTCTTGTTTTTTAATTATACTTTCTATTCAGGCACCCAATTTCCTTCATCCGCATTGGTACGATGCTTAACATGGATTCCTGCTGATGTCAGATATGTAACTCCGCAATGGGGCGATAACGCCATTTAGCTTGGCAAGCACGTCAGGATGGGGGCGGGAATGTGATTGAGGAGTTGGGAATTGTTTGGATACGGCTGAAGTGGCGGAGACGGTGATAGTGTATATAAGGGCGGGGTTATCTGTTTTGGATTAGAATGTTTTCTATAGTGAGGTAGATGTGGAGAGGAGTAGTAGTAGGGTCGACGAAGTGCAACCCTTGTTGCGGAGTCAGCAAGTGAGCTGAGAGGAGAGTATCGTACTAGCAAGTATCGCGATGCAATGTTAAGTCTGGTTTTATTGTAATCAATAATAACTATCAGCCTTATATCTCAAGCAAGTGAGAACGAAAACTAGTAGCTCGTCGTACAAATCGCATCTCGTATAATCCCATGTTCTTGGCTCGTATACTCGAGCCATGCCACAATCCCAACCTATACATAAATCCTACAATAACCCTACAATAATCCTACAAAATCCATCCACCAATCAACACACTACAACATCGTATACACTTTACACCCCCAGATCGAACAAGTACTCTACGCCATCACCCCCATCAACCCAACCACACCACCCGCCCCAATCGCCACAGCCCTCAACGCATTCAACCACGCAAACTTATCCAGCAGCGCCCTCACCTCCGCATCCTCCTTCTCACTACTCTCCCTCCCCGTCTTCTGCTGCGGCGGACTCAAATCCTTCCACTGGTTAACATCATCCTCCCCATCCACCGACGCATCCGCACTCCTAGCTGCACCTCCCTTCTCCCTCCTCCACTCCGCCGACTTCTGACTCCGCGTCCCACCCATTTCCTCATTCATCCTGATTAACGTGAAATTCGTTGGTATCATCAGGAAACTCGTAATAGGCGCTATACTAATGCAGAGCACGGAGGCGGCGAGGAAGTATGCTGGTTGGCCGTGGACTGCGGCGCGGAAGAGGGATTGGAAGGAAGAGAGTGGGGTAGAGGGGGGCAGGGAGAGGTAGGTGAGGAGGAAGAAGCTGGAGCTCGAGAGGATGCCGGCGGTGGGGAAGATGTGGGAGCCGCGGGAGAAGAGCCAGCGAACCATGGGGAGGGAGCGCGATGCGGGTTGGGACTTTAGCATGGGGATGGAGAAGAGGGAGAAGGCAGATATGCCGCCTGAGGCAATAAGGGCAGCGGATATGCTGAGTATTTGGAGGGCTTGTTCGGCTGACATTTTGTAGGTAATAGGATCTTTTTTTGTTGTGATTCTTTGGAGTATAAAAGGCTTGTATGTTTTATGAAAAGTTCGAAGAGCTTGTGATTTTCTGTCCTATTTGCATTCTACCTGAGAGTACTGATATATCAGTACTGCTGCTGGGTTAGGACATCCAACGCGCGTTCCACGGGTCCCGACGGTGTTGAAGAATGATGTCATGGTGAGCTAATAGGTCCTCTGATAACCTGTCGCAGTGCTCACAACCATCAATTGTGGAACGCCCCGAGCTGATATGCACCGTCAATATTCGATGCGCATGCTGAATCAACATTTCGGATAGTGATATTCACTGACGTAGAATTTGTCGCATATCCGATCCATCTACTCAGTCCGCTTGCGCACCCTAGGCAGCGCAAACCAACAAGCCAACATGGCTCCATACATACCGAGACATACCGGATTCAGAACCCAAGTTCCTGACGCTTGCGCAAGGATACCAGTCGTGAAGGGAGCGACGGCACCACCAGAGCTGCCTGCCCCAGCAATGAAGCCAATGGCAGTCGTCTGGATATTACGAGGCATGAGACGCGAGAAGATGGTTGAAGCACAAGGATAGATCGGACCAAGCAAAAGACCCAAAAGACATACAGCGACCGCGTTACCGATCAAGTTTGGTGTCAGCCAGGCCAGAAGCTGAAGGCCAACTGTGCCGAGTGTAAGGATGACGACAAATTTCTTTTCGCCAATCCTTGGTGCTGCATGCGTCAAAACGAAGCGTCCAAGTGTGATGCCGCCCTGGGAATATTGTTAGTATACTACATGTCGCGGTGAGATGGCAAATAAACATACCCAGAATCCAGCCGTCACGTAACCAACTGTGCGAGGGTCACCGTTTCGATAATTAATCAGATATGAGATAAACCAGCCCGAAATACTGACTTCGGCACCCTGGTACGCGAAGATGAACAATGCCCCGAAGAAAGTGACTTTGTTCTTCAAGGCGTGTTTGAGGTTTTTCAGCTTCGATGTTGCTTCTTCTGTGGCTGTCTGTTGGGTAGTGGTGGTTTCTAGAAGATTATCCTCGGTGTCTTCTTTGAAGGACCAGAAAGCCCAGGCGGCGAAGACTATGCAACAGATTCTTACGCCAACGGCGATGAAGTAGAAGCGGGACCAAAGGATGCCGCTCGAGGCCATGGCTGTTCCAATGATGGGCGCAATAATGCCGCCTACACCGTAACTGCCGTGTGCGAGGCCTAAAATGACGCTTGGAGGATGCGTGTGTGAGCAATAGACATTGTTCAGTGCTAGGTTAATAGCTGCGCCAAGTCCCAACATGAAGAAGCTTTTGTCGTTAGTTCATTGTCAGTAGTTCGGGATTTATTACTTACGACAGTACCACAAGCGGATAAGGTGGTGTGCAGACCAATACGATATAAGCTGAGAGCTGTATCGTCTCTGAGATAACTAGTGTTTTTGCTCTGCCGAACTTCCCTAGGACCGAGTTGGTGAAGAAAGCAGCGATGATAAAACCAGCCGCAGTGCCGACGAAGACTAGGGACATTATTGTGTATGAGATGTGGTAGTGCTTTTCCATGTACGGAATAAGTGCACCAACAACTGGTAATTTTCAGGACCGGATCACGGAAAGGGGTGTTGAACAGCCATTGGTAGATCTGCAGATATTCTTTTACATACCTGCATCGTTCATGCCATTGGAAAAGTAGATCAAGCAGCAGCACAAGATCCTCCATTTGGTCATGGGATCAGCGTTCCAAGTCCGCTCACGAGCGAACCCATCATCATGGGTCGGTGTTGCAGGCCGGCTATTCTCCAGCTCAGTAAGTGTCTTTGGAGTCGCAGCCCCATTCTGCGATGATTGCTTCGAGGCAGACTGTTGGTGGCCATTGCCATATTCTTTTACGGAATAGTCATCAAGCTCAACGTCCGGTAAAATGCCGACATGGTGCGGTACTTTGTCCGTACTCTTCTTATAAGCAGGCTTCGGGTTGGCGATTTGGGAGGTAGGCTGAATATCAAAAAGGCTATGAAATGGTGCCGACATCTTGACGAGATCTCTGCGTGTTTGGAAAGCCACACGACGGCCGTTGAAGAGGAAAGCAAAGTACACTACTTAAAATTGCAGCCAATCAAAGTAGCGCCGGTCTCGGTTGAAAGGACTGGAGGCGAGATAAGGGAAATGGGATGGGGAGTTGCAAACGCCCTTATAGCTCAATTGTACCCCAAGATCAGTGGAGTCATATCATAGTAGTCTGGCGGGAGCGCCCTAATGCAAGGAATGTCAAAAAATGCTCAAAGCGGAAGTGTACAGAGAGTTACTCAACAACGTGCTAAGGATCTAAAAGACGCACCCACGCACACGATTGCTGATAAATTCCGCGTAGATTAACCCGTGCGGGGTGCCAGTATGAACAAGAGCCGGGCCGCGTCCAAAACACCTATCAACTGCCGTAGGGCAATCATATCGTACTTGCACTATAGTATGAATGTCCAACCACGTTCGTCAATGTCGCGTTGAACGGTCAGCAGAGTCACATGCCGTTTCACCGCTGGTGTAGACATTGGAGATCCCTTTCGAATCGAGCAACGTATCCGCACTTTGGAAGTTCCAGAATTGTTTTAAAAAAAGATAGAAAGATCTGGACCGAGGCATGCATAAAAAGGTAGCGTTACCTAAACGGTGATCAGAGTGCGAGATTTAGGGTAATGCAGGCGGGCGCGGCTGGGGTTTGCGCTGCGGGCGGTGGGTAGGTGGGGGTTGGGCGGATCGGCCAAAATTTCCCTTTTTGCGAAATTTGGCGACCCCTCCATTGGAGAAACAACAACAGAGAGATTCTGACGTATGGTCTTTGTTCATTTTTCCACACATCGCACTTTTCTGTACACAATCGATATAATTATTTCTACAGGATGCCGCCACCCAAGCGTAAGGTTCTCGCTACGATAGACAGCACCATTACGCCGCCTGACGAGCTTCCTCCCAATCACTTCATCGCGCGCATCACCAAGGCCGAAGGGAAGAATCTCTACTCCGCCGAGCTTCCAGATGGGAAGCCTGTTCTCGCAGAGCTCGAGCCCAAGTTCCGGTCAACGGTATGGATAAAGCGGGGTAGCTACGTAGTGGTGGACACATCTGCGCTGGCGGATAGGGATAATAAGCTGGACGGGGAGATTGTCAACATAGTCCGGGACGAGAAGGCGTGGAGGAAGATGAGCTACTGGTATGAACATGGGTATCATAGGTTGCTATGTGTACAGGATGCTGACATGATGTTACAGGCCCAAGGAGTTCGCCAAGAAATCCACATACGTCGAGGACAGCGACGAGGAAGAATCTACCGTTGGCAAGATGCCGCCTACAGACTCGGATGAGGAGTGAGCTTTCTCCTACAGAATGCTTCACTCCTTGTGTGGGTGGTCCTCTTCGATGATGCCCTTTGTAACGCCTTCGTACTCCTTCCTTGTCCCCCACCACACACCCGCGACCGTGACCGCCAGAACTCCTACTACTGTCGCCGAACTTGCCGGAGTGCTCGGATACACATTCCACGCCCACTCTTGCGCACCCCATAGCGCATACACAGCAACTGGATTGAACCCTGCTTTCCACAGCAAGAAAGGCGTCGACCATGCAATATATGCATAGAACTGGTAATGCAGGCTTCTTGCGCAAAGGAGACCAATCGTCATCGCAGTCAACATACCCGTCATGACAAAGTCTGGCGTGATTTTACTGGACATAGTGTCCTGGTCTCTAGGCTCAAGGACGGGAAGGCAGAGCTTGAGGAATTCCCGGACGTTGCGCTTGGACGGTTTGATCCAGCGGGTTCGTGCAAACCAGAGCAGAAGAACGATATGCAGGCCAAGCAGACTAAGGGCGAAAGGCCAGGATAGGAAAGTAGACTCCGGGACAAAGCGCCAGTTTACGGTCCATTTGTAGAGAAAGGCACGGCTGAGTTCAAAGGCACGAGCAAAGTAGCTGGGAGCGCGTTTCCTGAATGGGTAGCCCCATAGAACCTTTTAAATGATTAGTATTGAAACGATTCCTGTCTATGTATATTTGGAGAAGGGAAATTATACGTACCGAGACCTGTCCAATAATCATAGCCTGGGTCAGTGCCTCTCTCCCACCCAACTTCATCACCATCAACATACCCATTGCCGGCAATGGTAAAAGCAGACTCATCTTGACATTCAGCCCCGTGCTATACAACGCGCTTCCCAAATGCCACTGGTCGCGTTGATAGCAGTAAACCGCCAACCAGAAGAACAGCGCAGCAAAGCAATCATTGAAGCACCGCAGCATAAAAATGCTATGTAGCCGCTTTGACAAGATGAGTAGCGGGAAAATATATGGTGGTACCTATATCACAGTTAATACTGGAATTTAACCTCCCCAACCCCTGATAGAGAGTATCAGTTGGTAAAGAAAAAGAAGGGTAAAACTCACTCTAGCCTTTCGGTAACACTGCATCACAAGCGCAAGGGTCATCAAATACACCACCGCAAAAATATACTGCGCAAGCGCAATATTCCTCCCTTCATCCGTCCACTTGTACAGATGCTTGTAGATCCATACATGCGCACCAGGATACACCAGTGGGCCCGTAGACCCGGAGATAAGCTTGTAGTCGCGCTCGCCTTTGAGGTAGATGGCGATTTGCTGCATGTAGGTTGACCAGTCTATTTCTGTGTCTATTCATTCTCAAAATTAGTTTTTGCTTGTTGGAAGAATAAAAATAGTTTAATGTGGTGATAGTAGCAGGGTTTTTTTCTCTTCTTCTCTTTGCTATAAGAAGGGGGAGTGGGCATAGGGAATGTCGAGGCCACGTGTGTAAACGGGGGTAAGGGTAAGAACGAACACGGTATTTTCTCGATTATCACGCCGCTGAGGGCTGCGTCGGCGACGAGGAGGAGGGGTGTTATCCATCGTGTGTGGTCTGGATTCAGTGCCAGATCTTTGGCGCGGGCGAGAAGCGACATGTTGTGTTGTAACTTTTTTATTTTTTCGGGATGGTAAGAGGGGCAGGGGTGAGGGATTGGTGTTATAGGAACGCGTCGCGTGTGTCACGTGGATACGAGGGACTCTTTTGAAGTTTCAAGCGTGCATCTTTCGGCGCGACATGTGTTTCATGTGGGAATATTGTCGTGCGACTTCGTCCGATGGTCCGATGTTAAGGCTTGCTATGGTAGGTATGTGGGGGATGCAAGTAGGGCTGTTTTGGGGCTCATGGTGGGTTGGACCTAGAGGTGCCGGACGGGCCAACGCCGCGGACGGGCCAACGCCGGATTACGTCCTCCAACACCAATTATTCCATCCACTTCAACCACCCATAACGTGACCACAATGCAATCAATTGACGCTGCGCTTGCTGCTATTAACGCTTTGAAGCCTAATGAAAAACTTGTGTATTCTCAAATTGCAAAAAAATATGGTGTTGACCCAGGAACGCTGAGCCGCCGCCACCGAGGTATTTCTCGCTCCAGACAAGCAGCTGCACAAAACCAGCAGGCAGTCCACCCACAACATGAAGCTGAGCTTATCGACTATATCGATAGACTCACTAAGCGAGGCCTAGCACCCACACGGAGTATCATTCGAAATATCGCGTCGCAGCTAGCTCAGAAGCAGCTCGGATATCACTGGGTTGATCGCTTTGTTCATCGTAACTCGCATCTCGTTATACTCAAGCGCACCACGCCAATCGATCGTAGCCGGCGCCGAGCTGATTCAGAAAAGAAATATCAGCTCTACTTCGAGCTTCTACGCCAAAAAATCGATCAATATAAAGTAGAGCCGCGACATATATATAATATGGATGAGAAGGGCTTTATGATTGGAGTACAGTCCCGCTCAGTCAGAATCTTTTCTAAAGCTGCTCTCAAGTCCAAATTGAAAAG